AAAAAAATCCCTCATGTGAACTGTCAACACAGTTAGGTAAGCTGTCAACCCACGAAAAACAAAATAAAACAAAAATGTCGGAAACAGTAGGCGACTGCTAATTCTGCGACAACTTTTAATTTGTAATTAAATTGTTGCAATAATTGTTTTAGTATATTAACTAAGTCATCATTCTATGGAAATAATGTATATTTTTACTTACTAAAACTATTTTACTTTTACTTCATGTATTTTTATTTTCTTTGATGAAAGTGAAAAGTGTAGTTTTTTTTGATGAAATCATTTAAATAAGAAATTTTAATTGTTAATTAATAGAAGTTGATATGTTTGATGATAGATGGAGGGTTTTAATGGACTGTGTAATCAAATATGATTGTGGTTTCGGTGAGCCAATGGGTGTTTTGTTCCAGGATTAGAACTGAGGTGGTTTGGGTCGGTCGGAACGCGTGTAAACTGCGAAACCGAGCTTAGGGAAAGTTTCGGATGGCAGAAGAAGCTGGAGACTGGTAGGGGAATCATCATCATGCTGCGGTCTTGCTTTTTCGCAGCAGTAAGTACGTACCTTTCTGTCTGTCGTAAGCATTTATGCACTCTGATGTCATGAATTGGCTGATAAGGGCGGTTTTGCCCACCCCCTGGGTGCCCAGAAGGGCGACACTGTACCTCGCCGTATCGTGCAGAGTGGGATCGATGTCGTCGCAGACGGGGGACGGTGTCCCACCTCCTCCTCCGCCACCACCCATCGTCGGGGGACAAAGACTGTTACTCCTCGATCGCCGTCTCCGGAACGAATCTCCTCTGTTCACGATTCCTGCGAACACGAAAAACGAAACCCAAAACAATCAGACTCAATAGGGTAAAATACAGACAGCGTATGGGTGGATGCGCCGGGTAAAGCGAACGTCTAACCATAACATATTGAACTTAATTAAATTGAGCATTCGCATAGCTCACGTGAATATATATTAAATTGGAGATACAATTTCATCATGCAAGAGTATTCATCTCGCAAAATGTCACATAACAAAAAATTGATGAAATTTCATAATACATTTTCAACAAAAAGAGTCATCGTGTTTTCAAGAGCGAAACGAAATTTGTGTCACTAGATTATTTGGATTATAATTAAGAAAAAATATATTTTATTTGAGGTTTTTTTTTCAGGTTGTTTCAACAACTTAATGAAATAGAAAATTGTTGACAAATTGGTTTTAATTAGGAAACGAGAATCTCGTCGAGAATTGGCGAAGACGTCTGATTAAGTGGACGGTCGGAAAAAGGAGCGTAACTTAATTTAAGCCCAACGGCGAAGGACGACACGTCGGGAGGACGCAAAGAAGAAAAAAAAGAAGAGGATGAGATAAAGTTAGTGAGGAGAGCAATATAATTAAATCTCACTTTGCGACACTCGCTTTAATTGATTAATTACCTCACTGCTTCAACAAACAAAAGCTGTAATAAATTCGCATTGTTTTGAGTTCTTCGAGAATCAAAGTAAAAGAAAATAAACATTGTTTTTAGGGTTTTTCAAATTGTTTGGGTTTTATGTTGATGTTGCGAAGAGTGTAGGTGTGTCTGTATGAATCGCGTAGGTCGATACGTGCGTTCACTACAAACAGCCTGGTTTAAGTTGGATTCTCCTGAAGCGGATTGAAATGCGCCGCTTCCGCCAAAGATTTATCCGAGAGTTTAAAGTGAATCGCACAACTAATTTGCGCAAGGTAAACTATCTGCATACACATACTCATTTCGATTCAATTTAAATTAATTACAGTTTGTAATTTGTAAATTACAGCATTCAGTTTACTACAATTTTTCGTGTATTTTGCGTATGGTTCATGTAACACTTGAAGCGTTTCGTAAAGAGTATCGATGTTTTCGACGTTCATGATTCTGCAACATGTCACTCTTCCTTCAACTGACATAAAGCTTTGCATATTGAATGCACATAAAATGGAGAATTAAATTGTGTTTCCAGTCGGTTTACGACTTTCCCAGTTTTATTAACGCTATCATTGAACATATGACTGTAACATAGTGGTTTTTTTTATAACATCTGCTACATTATCTACTTTTTTAAATTTACAAATGACAAAGAAATCTTATTAAAACAAAACTATGCAAATTCAATGTTACTTGTGAAACTTGTTTTGACAAACTGTCAAAATAATAAGTAAGGTTAGGTTATTAATTGAATTACTGGAAAACTATAATACATAGAATGAAACCAAAAGATGCATATGAAAGCTGAATGTTTGGGGAATCTAACAAGCATCGATATATTACTGTGGTTTTAGCCGTTTGGGTGTAATTCGTGTTCAAAGTTTAAAAAATGCTCGAAAAAGCAGTGTTTTCACATTTCATTGATTTTCTCGAAACCTATAATAGATAGAATGAATCCAAAAGATGCATATGAAAGCTGAATGTTTGTGGAATCTAGCAACTATCGATATATTACTGTGGTTATAGCCGTTTGGGTGTAA